GGCCCATCTGCTTCAACCATCTCCTCACGATCGTCTCCAAACAGTGAATGAGTTTGTTGGTGAAGATCTTCTTGTCTGACCATTGTCCACAAGGGAAGGGGCCTCTAAACCACACAATATCACCAGTCTGAATGCACACAGCAACCTCATACTTCACACCTGGGCCCCTGTGCTTCTGGGAGTACCATCTTGGGTCACAAGTAATCTGATGGCGCTTTTGTCTCTTTTGTTTCGCGCCTATTCTTTGATTTGCTGGATTGAGCAGCAGTCAATTGCTCGTGGATCTTCAAGTCAAAGCAGTCCACAGTCGTCAGGCAAGTCCTGCCCTTGTCATTGCGAAACCGGTTCCTCCATGCAATCTGGCTTATGTGAGAATCGAAAACAAAGATATCACTCGACAACAAACAACTCACCACGTCAGGCTTAGCAGCTGCAATCAAGGGAAGAATGTACCAAACCCACTTGCGATAGGTCTTCCTAGTGACACCGGTGAGACCACCCAACACCGGCTCAGTTCCATAAACTTTGATAAAGAGGAGAGCCCACAGAAGGCGCTCAACAGTTACGTTGGGATCTTGGTCAAAGCCACAAAGCCACCACAGGAAAAGGATGACATCAGGAGAGACTCCAAAGAACATCTTCCACTCGTCAATGGAGGAGGCTCTGCCCCTGATAAGGGATCCATGGAAAAGAATGGCGTGTCGAGAAGGAGCCATGCTGAAGGGCTTGTTCTTCCAAAAGAATGAGACTAACCTCTAGCAAGCTGATGAATTTCAACGGCCACGAGCCAATCTTTCTAACTTAGGTTTACCAGCAAAGGTTTTCGTGCAAAGAAAGCTGCTCCATGAGCAGCTCCGTGCTAGCTGCTGTAGCAAGTGGTTGTGTATCGTAGCAGCAGTGGCAGTAGACGTGAGGAGAGGAGGAGAGGGCACTAGAGGGACGTAGCATTCATTGAACCTAGCATTGGCGTTATCTAGCATTGACATTGACCGAAGCAGCAGCCGTACTAGTTAGCTGGTCGCTAGTCACATTAGAAGTACGACGTAGTTAACAAACAACAAGCGATGCTATCGTTTAGTCTTGGCCTCCTGCTGGATCGGCAACGTTGTAGCTGTTTCAGCTTTGAGGCTCTCTAACTCCTGGGGAACATTTTTTCTCAATATGACTTATATGCATTGGTTTGTAGAGCTCGATTTCCTCTTTCTATAGCCGTTTTGGCGACCTCAATTAACCTAACCTGAAAGAAGTTACGATCATATACTTAAACGCACCTCGAGTGCTACATTGTTGCTGTTGTAGCTACAGTGATAGTGTACCGGAAGCAAGGGGAAAGGAGCACAGGATCGATTCCTGAATAATACTCGATCGGCTATGCTGTTGCCGTTACAACGTCGACAGTTAAATGTACGTGCGACGATATCGCAACGTAGACTTAAGTACCGGCTGGTGCTGTCGACGTTGTAGTACCGGCACATTTAAGCGGCAACGTTGTTGCTGGTGCGGGGGGCCAAGACTAAACGATATTTATATTGAGCTACCTATCAACTAGTTACCGGCAACAGACGATTTCAACTTGGTCTCAAACTCTTCATCAGCAACCGCAATGATCTTCTTGGCCGTGGCTTTGGAATTCACACAGAAAATAATATCTTCCAACACTGCAGAGACCGCTTCCTTCTTTCCAGCCCAAGCTCCAATACCCAAGATAGCTTGACGGGCAAGGTGTTTATCCTTCTGGTTGCCACGGTAGAGTCCACCACTGATTTGGGGAAAGACAATCTTGGTGGCACCTGCTTCGGCAGCAAGAATGCATGATTTGGTGTAGACATGACGAAGCTTTCGATCGTACTCAGCTTGCTTGGATTCATTCTGTTTGGTGACGTCCGTGTAGTCTGGACCAACAGCAATAATGACGTAATCAGTGCTGAGAGTGCCAAACTTGTTGGGCCCAAGGAGCTTGGCATGACCAGTTCTGCATTTGACTGTTGAACCCAATCCTTGCTTGTGGCTAACGGGAGGAAGAGCTCTGCGTGCTTCTTCCAAAATATCGCTTCCGTGATCCGAGATGGAGCTATCCATGCCACCAGCACAGTCACCTCCTTCATTGCAGGCATTGACGATGGCACCAAATGGATCCTTGAAGTTAGCAGTATCCCCCACAGCAATCGTAATAAACTTGTGGTTATCGAGTTTGTAGGTAGCCATTCGCAGCAAGCTGCTCGAAGACAAAGGCTTGGTTGAAATGCCTTCTTGGAAAAGGTTGATGAAAGCAGATTCTGCAGTAATCTTGACCTTGCCACGACCACGGAAAAGAAACCACCACCCATCAGCCAAGGAGGAAATCACCACCATGAGTGGAAGCAAGCCGTAATAGATGATAGGAGCCCAATCAATCGCCATGGTGAGGATTTCAGTCGAGGTTTCAGCCATCCTGTCGAGTTCGAGTTGTGTGCTACGTTGTAGCACACTGCAAACGACAAACGGATCGAACATGCGCCAGCATTGCTTAATCCCAGCGCCAACTGACGGTCTGGATTGTTCTGCGTTGTAGTTTCTTCTGTATTTGCAACATGTGCCAAAAATTTGTTGTGCATTGTTGTGTTGGGTGGACTCGGATCCGCGATCTTCTCCGATACGATATCAATGTATTCGCTGCGCTACTATGGTAATCGATACACGACTATCGTAACCGATACGGTCCGATACGGTCCGATACGTTACGTTCCGATACGTTTTTTGGTCTTTTGTACTGTTGTTTCTATAGTAAAAACAGAACCGATTACACTACGTTACGATATGTTACGATATGTTACGTTACGCTACGTTACGGTCCGATACACTCATATTCGATTCGATTGCATACGGTACGCTACTATGCGTGTGGAGCACGAGCACAATGACAACTAGAATATTCTTCGTCCAATGCATATTCAAGTCTGTAGATGTAATAAGACGCTATACTTATTTGAGTCTTAGGTTTTGAGAGGAAAGAGGAGGCTCGCGGAGCATCCCATTGCTCCCATTGTTTGATAGTAGCCCCCATAATGAGCAACGATAGCAACACCAGTGCAGATTTCCTCGAAGAGGACACTTTGACGGAGGAAGATAGCGACGGCGAGGACTCACCCAAGAAGAAGAAGACCACCAAGAAGAAGCCAAAACAAACCCAACAAACCTGGGATGCTACTAGTGCTGATTCTGTGCTGGTTGCCAAAGCTGTTCTTGAGGGCAAGTGCAACCCAAACGACTTCAAGTCCGTCCGAAAGGCTGTGCCACAAGTTGAGAAGTGGATCAAGGACGAGAGATACGGACGAAACACTCTCGACAAAATTCGACGCAACAGCCGCAAGCTCATCAGGAACATCCACATCTATTTGATCACTGGTAACGGTAAGCAGATTGTTGTTTTTTTGTGTTGTTTTTTGTTGATCACTCACTCACTCACTCCTCATTTACTAGGCTTCTTGGGAGACACAGAGTTCTTGAAAGCCACCCAGCTGAAAGGACGCGGCGGCAAGGAGATCAACGGACTCCCCGGGTATATTTTTGACGGAAAAGCGGAGCCAAGTGCAGACATGGCGAAGAAATCCAACAAGAAGGAGGCAAAAAAAACTCCGCCGCGACCACGCCAAGGCCGAGCCAGTACAGTAGTCGGCGGCGATGCTGCGGAGCAACCACCACCACCACCAGTTGTGGAACAGCCTCCGGCGGCAATGGATTTGGTCGGCGGCGTCGCTGCGCTGGATCTGAACCTTGGAGGTGGTGATCTTCCATTCGATCAGCTTGTTCTTCGTCTCATGTTCACCGTCCAAGACAAGCTGGATCCAGTCATCAGTTATGCACCAAAGCGTCCACTCTTGTGCTGCACCATGGCTCTTCCTGGGGGCATCACTTGGGAGGACATCGAAGTGTCCATCGTGGACGCTGGTCAAGCACTCCTCTTTCGGTTGCACATTCCACTCTCAATGAGGATTGCCAAGAACATCATCGGTCCGATTGCACTTGAGGACACGGATTACCACGACCTCATCAAATCCTCACTCAAGAAACTTCCCAATGTGGTGGAGCGGAAGATCAAGATGCCTTTCCAGTGCGAGCAAGTCTTCCGGTGGCCTGACAACCAGCTGCCATTTGCGGAGCCCAACAACTACATGCGCCGCTGGTATCGGTAGGAACAGTCTGGAACTGTTCCGTACATTCACCACTTTGGCAAGTGCTGTGTCTTCTCAACCATGAAATCCAATGACGATGAGGAGTACCGCCTCAAAGATCGCTACGAAGCGGAGAGTTTTACTGACTTCGACGCTGAACCGGCTACCCCACCAAGCCGTACTTCAACCAGCGTCCCCAGCGTCAGCAAGGGCAAGAAGTCATCCAAGAAGTCATCCAAGAAGTCATCCAAGAAGAACCGCGACAGCTCCCTGTATGATAATTTGTCTCTCGAGGAACAGAAGCGCCGACAGCAGGAATGGGCTGATCATTTGATGAGCGACGCAGCTCCGGTGGCAGCGGCAAGGCCCGCTCCTTCTCCAGCCCCCGCGAATGCAGAGTTGTTGAGACAGCTACAGCATTTGCAACAACAAGAGGATGAGCGAGCAAGGGCTTTGACCATGGAGAGGCAGCGGCTGGAATCCGAGCGGCAGGTCCAGCAGCAACAGATGCAAGAGCAGTATCAGCAGATGCAGTGTTGGTTGCTAGTAACACTCTAGCTTAGTAAAGGTAAAATACTGTTTTACTGTTAAGCTATTTCCAAGAAGTGATCTTTCTCCATGTTTTCTGGGATTGATTCAACTTCAAAGGATATAGTGAAGGGGGTGACCATATAGATCAGTTAAACTCCCCATGTATGTAACTAGAGAATTGATATAGATATCCCCTCTGAACTAGATTGGGATAAACGAAGAATTCGTATTGAGGTGTCTGTAAAAGGAACAGTTGTTGGTCAAGAGAGACCAATTGCTAGGTTGCTCGGCATTCCGCTTAGTGGCGAGAAGCTTGTCATCCATAGCAGTGCTGACAAATCTGTCACAGTCAATGTGGACATGTGGACAGTGTCGTCATGAAAAGCCACTGTGGCTACCACTCCTGTGAGTGTTGCCACTCCTTTGTATGACTTGCTGTGGCGGTTGGTGCCGTCACTTGATGTTGCTGTATTCGAAACTGGGAAGTCCGATCACTTGTTGAACCGTGGACTGGAAGTTTCGGTCACTTGGTATTGCTGAGCTGGAAACTAGGAAGTTCCGGCTGCATTCCGTAGACTCAGACTGTCTCTTGACTGGCGGTGTAGACTGAACTGGACATCGAATGCCATGGTCTCAATCGCCAATTATGTGTGGAAACATCAATCCATTCAAGCTTGATACTGGATTTGGAAATCAGGTGAGCATGGTCTGTGCAATAGCTTGGTAGCTTTCTGGAGTCAGCTTGTTGTCATTGGAATGGAACGTGAGCTGTCTCTTCTTTGTTGGATGTCCAAGAAGTGTGGATGTCCTGCTGTTGTCTTTTCCAGAGGAATGGAATCCTTTTCTTCCCAGCTGGGGAAGCTTGTACATGAATTGTGTGCTTGCTTGATGTGGACCTTGGTTTGCACCTCTTGTAGATGGGTGCTGGCAACTTGTGGCGTTCCGTCGAACTGTTGCTTGCTTTGAGCTGGTTCCATGGTGGAACTGTTCCTGTGGAACTGTGGGAATCCTCTGCAGAAGATATCCCGGTAGCACTGGTGTGTGGCTACCCTTGCTGAGTAAGCTTGCTCTGCCTGATAGGCTTCTGTGGTCACACCTGCAATCTCATGATGGATCTTCTGAGTCGATCCCGAGGCGTCAAACTGAATCGATCTCAGTGGTCGCTGCTTGCGACGGCGTACAGCTTACAATTTCAGCTTTACAGCTTTACAACTAGCAGGCTTATTCTAGAAAATAATAATAACTGCTCACTTATTTGAAATAAAACTTTACATCTCTTAGATCGTTCGATTAATCAATACACAATGGTATTTGTCGCATGGTAGCATGCGAGGTTATGAGTTGTTACTCATTCTATTTCTTATATGTCTATCCCTATGGTTGTCAATGGAATGTGCTACTACTTGATGCAGATTGCTCCTTATGAGTTTCCTCTTGCATTCTTCATCGGTATTCCTTCCCCTTATTGCAACTCACTCCCCTTGGATTCGCTCGAAAGCAATCCCCCTTATCCTTATTGACGATCGTAATCTTAATGAGGATCATCCTATTATCTTGGATTCGCTCAAAAGCAATCCCCTTGTTTCTATCCTATTGACGATCGTAATCTCAATGAGGATCCTATTATCTCGATCGCTGCAGGAGCCACTACTGTACTGCTACGGTTACTACTACTTTTATCTCTATCAGCACCGGTAAAGTCCGGCCATTGTCAATGCCTCCCATGCTCAGCTTCAGCATGGACTCGACTCGATCGGGTGACCAGATAACAAATTCATTCGAAAAAATGATTTGACCGTTGCTATATAACGGGCATCGGCTTGTGTGTTATGCATTTGAGTCATGCTTCATGGAGCTATTTCCTCTCTATTATCCGTTCTGACTTGCCTTGAGTCATGGCTGTGCCTTATGTCTTTTCGAAAAACTCCTCACTTTTCATTCCAAACGTGAAAGAACAACTGCAGTGGAGCGATCGATTTTCGCTTCGTTGATGTTGGTTGTTTCATGTGGCTGTTGGTTCTCTTACCAGACCAGGCATTGGTGTTATGCAACACAACAACAACAACTGCAAGCCAGTTCAAACGAGAACTCGCTTGCAGTTGTCAGCACCGATTCGCCGAACTTCATTCAAACGACCGATTCGCTAGCTCGCTGTTTGAAGGAGAAGGATTCAAACGACGCGAAGAACAACGACGCGAAGAACAACAACAATAAAGCTCATAAACTCCAGCCCCAGCTTCGATTGACTCGATTGACTGGATATACATCCACCACCACGCTCTTGTTACCGCTCCTCCTCTTGTTGCCGCAGCACTGTTGTTGATTTTCACTGCCTCCTATTTCATCAGCTATTAATGGACCTTGACGACGCTTCCTCTGCCTCAGCATCTTCATCTTCAACAGCAGCACCAGCACCAGCACCAGCATCCTTGTTCAGTCCACAAGCCTTCAGACAAGCCTTCTTTGATTCTGATCCAATCATCCCAACATCTGATCCTACAACCATGACTGCAGCACCATTGAACGCAGTTCAAATCCAGGAGCTCCTCCAGCACATTGGGGAAACCAAAGAAAAGACCAACCTTACAGAAAGCACCTCGCCTTGGAGGTATCAACCACTCTGGAGCCTGGACAGTATCCGGCTCAGATGTACTGGGAAAGGAACCTCAAGGCAACCTATGCCTCAGGGGGTTTGGAGACGACCATCTAAACAATCACACTACACTCCAGCCAATTGAAATGGCATGCAAGAAAGGACTGAGGAATTCCCCCAGTCTCTATTCTGGGTCCCATGTTTTTGCCTCTCTCATCGCCTTTTAAAGTATGATGACTGAACATGGAATGGAAGGGTTCTTCCAGCTTGTTGTTGGAGATCACAATACCAACACTATTAATACAATCAACATGTTCACTTCTCCTTGACAGGTCTCAGAGTTTCTATTGATTGGAAAAATGGCTTCAGGACCTCACAGTCAATAGGGTCAGACTCATCGATGCTGGAACTCTGAAGCCACATCCTGTTTGCCAGTAAGATTTGACAAACCTTGCCTGGTCAGTAAAGGCTGTTCTAAATTCTTGTACTGATGCTCTCCAGGAGAACTCAAATCAATACTGTTCGCGAGCCAAGCACAATGGGCCTCAGCTTCTCTTGGCTTTTCTGCAGAAAATATACAGACCTTCTCTCAGTAAGATTGAACCCCTCAAAGCCAAGCTACTTCACTTGGACATCACCAAGTTCCCTGGGAGAATGTTTCCATGTATGTTTGCGATGCAAGCAAGATCATAAAAGAGATTAGATTAAACTTTATGTCCAGTTATCCCATTCCTGAACTAACCAGGCACATCTTGAGAGGTCTCTTGGCTGTGGTTGTCCATTCTTTCGATCCAAAGTCCATGAGCTTGGTGTCAAGAGTGACATCAAAGGATTTGATAGCAACTATGGGAACAAAACATTGGAAGCACTCGACACTTTGATGATTGGGATTTGCCCTCATATCGGTCTCATCAACAGAAACTTATGAGCCTGCCAACATCTTGGATCCAAGGGATCCAAGGCCAAAGCATTCCAGGAAGCAATTGAAAAAGCAGTTGAGGCAAAAGTTTGGAGTCTCACCCAGGATCGAATCAGTGGGTCAGCCAGTGGGGGTACCCGTCCTCGTGGAGGCGCTTGCTTTGATTGTGGAGCTATACTGATCATCATAGAAAAGAACCAGCATGTCCCAAGCCAGGTTCTCCCAAGGACAACGGACTGAGTGCAGAAACCAACTCCAAACTCACAAACCTTTATTATAAAGAACAAGCTGTGACTTCCTAGACCTCCAAGGCAGAGAACAATTTCCAGATGATGCCCAACAACAACATAATTCTGTTGAATGGAAGGTAGTTGCTAAAAATACATGTCGAAACTGTGGAAGGATCTCCAAAGGCACCAGTGCTCATTTCACAAGTGAACATCGTGGGTTCAGCAAGTTTACTTACAAGGCACCCTCTTCTGTGGCAATGCTACTCCACCACCAGCCATACCAGCATTGATTGGGGCTGATGCTGGAGCACCG